ATATATTGACATTCTGAAAATTGACTTGTGCCTTTTTTGTCTCGAGTTAGATGAGAAGATTAAGTATCAAAATGTGGTTATGGAGCCAGAAGCTGGTGAACATACTGTAGTTTAGTACAAAGAATAGAGATTGAAGAAAACTGACTCAGTCCCCCCTCCTCGAGGACCTCTTAAGCTGTGAGCTGTTTGAAAACCCAAGTGTAAAAATGTCATTTTGCTGTTTTATGGGATCCCTGGGACCGAATCCAGGCTAGCTTTCCTCCCGTCTCCAGTCTTTATATCGACTGTACAGACATGACAATGGGATCAGTCTAACCCTCTGCAAGATGGCGAATAAAAGTGTTGCCTGTATAAAAATTTTCAAAATGTTCCTTGCAATGCACTAAACTAAAATCTCACCTGATTTTAATCATCTGGAAAAAAAACCTTGGCGTTTCAAACACCTAAGCTTGAATGGAACTTCTCTCTGAATCCCACAGATAACTTCAATGACTAATCTAATCCACCGTGTGAAACTCCAAACGCAGCAAAAACTGTTTTCCCTCGGTGGCACGCTGGTTTAAAAACATCCTTATGTAGTGATTTACGACTACACCTGGCCTTGACCTATTTGAAGCTCAGATTTAGGGATGCTGAGTAGAGATGCACCTATTCTTAGTAAACATTACATAAACCGGAGATGAATGCAGTTCCTCTCCAACACTTGCTGGCTCTCTGAGTTGGTGTGTCAGGAATTTATAGAACATTTCCCAACATGTGAGATCACATCTTGTTCAGCCAGTGTTTCTCGGGCAATTGATTTAGATGTGAGACATTTTCTTTAATGTTGTGCGTTTAAATGCAAAAAAAACCCAACAAAAGCCTCTTGTCATTAAACTCACAATTACAAAGATCTGTAGAACTCAATACTTCAAGGGTTTATTTCCCATGTAATACAATCTGAGGAACAGGAATCGTAGCAGGAGATAGTGTAGGCAAAAAAAAAAAAAAAAAAAAAAACTCTCTCCCGTTGATGGATCCGACTAATGCCTGTCTCTTTCTATAATTCCACAGTGACAATTTAGTTGCTGCTCACTGCACATCCAAGAAAGGTTGTCACCACTCAGAAAAGACATCCCCTGTAGACCGCTTCTGCAGTCTGGCCAATTAAATAGCTAGATTGTGGAAAGTGCGATAGCAGCTGCTTAATACTGCTCCTCCTTAGGCTCGCTCTCTGCAGAGTTCAGACAAGTATCTATGTCTGTCTGTCTGTCTGCTCGAAATAAAAAAAACTGGAGTCTGATGTCTTCTGTAAAGCAGCAGAAAGAAGAATAACTGTGTGTGTGTTCAGCATATTCACATAATTTTTTACTTCAGAGGAAAATCAACACATAAATATAACATAATAGATAATTTTAGACATTTATTCACATAATAACGGGTAGACCTCCAGCTACAACAGAAATGTTTGACTGCAGACATGACCCCAAGAAACCTGCAAACCAAACCATCAGTAAAACCAGAATCACAAACTTATTATTATAATTATTTCACCTGAGCTGCCACAGATCCACTGTTTTGAAATACTTCTCCACAACCATAAAGCCAAAGGGACGTGACGAACGACTTTGTTGTAGCACATTTTAATAATGAACTGCACTTCTTCTCTTCACGGCAGTTTCTCCTCAGCTATTTTTCATTTATAAAAAATGATATTAATGTGCAAGCCCCTCAATTAGTTTTTATCTTGTCACCATTGAGAATACGCTGTCAAGGATCCTGCTTTGAAATTTTAAGGAGAAGAATGAACACACGCTGCTTTTAATGTCGTATTTCAAAGTTGCGACAGACGCAGCCACAACAGTTTGTCTAACAATGAAGCGGCGCAGCAGGCTGCCATAGCTCGTCAAGGTCACATGCTTCTTGCCGCCGAGGGAAAGTGTGACGTCAAGCTACAGTAAACCTATCAGCAAGATTAATGTGTAGGTGTGCAGGATAAATTAAGCCTGAAGTCGCTGGTTTTAAGTCTCAGAACTGAGACGTGATGATGATTCGTGTTTTCAGAACCAGAGATGAAGCGCAGGCAGCTGGAGAACTGTCCGTGGTGCTGAAATTGACATTTGAATGAGCTGCACAGCAAAATATCCACATCACTGTTTGATCAAAATAACGTGAACGCAATATATAACAATCGATTCCTCCACTCATTTGAAATCCAGAGGTGTGGATCTTATAGCTCTCCATCAGGTCACGCAGGGATATTGCATTTTTCTATTCAGAGCTTCAACAAGCGCGGCACAATATACGTTTGCCTGGAGATTGCAGTGTGAAGATGAAGGAACATAAGGAGGAGGTGATGACTTTATTCCTGTGTTTTATTTGATTTTGAAATTAGGTGTATTACATCATAGAGCAAAGGTTTAATATGAGGCAATATTTATAAATCAGAGGCACATGATGTCATTTAGAGAGAAATTCATGGGAAAATATCGAACTGTAGTAAAAGAGGTGTAATAAAAGTAATTTCATGTATTTCATGTGAAATTAATAGCACATCATTTTTCTGTTTGATAATTATTTTATACATCATCATCTAAAGGTCATTTATACATCTGTAAATGCTGAAGTGTAGTTTTCTATATTTTCTTCAAATGCCATTTGGATTGTTTGGAAAAGGGATTATTTTAATGACTGATGTGGCTGCTAAAGGTGTATTTATAAATAATGAAAATGTAATACACCCATTTAAATAAGCATTTATTGAGTATTTAAATGTTCTCTCAAGAAAGTAGAGGCACTTTAGGTCTAGAGTTTTTTTTCTGTGACTGGTTACATCAATCATCATATTTTCTGAAGGGAAACTGAACGTTCTTAAACCTCATCACCTCTTCTCGTTCCTTTGAATAATTTTTTATGATATTATGGCTCTTTTCCGCTTTCCTGCACTCCTCTATAAATCAATCAGATTTGAAGTTCAGAGGTCAATTCTTTTCTGGGTTCATATCATCCAATTATGTGGCAATCAATAACTAACCCCTGCGCTCTTGTTATTCCCCAGTGAGCAGTTTTTTATTTGTCATCATCTGCAAACCAAAATGCCAATTCCCTCGACTGTCCACAGCAGCAATTCTGACGACCACAGAAAAATGACTCAGCTCAGGAAACTGATGATCAGAGCCTGCAGAAATTAATTTAGCCTAAAATTGAGTCCACACCAAAGTCTGATTCATGTTTACTTTGAGCGCACGATCTAGTGCTGAACTAAACCTGCAGAGCTTTGACACCAGTTCAAAGAGCTAAACAGACTTTGATTCTGTGTGCAAGGGACGTCAAACCTTAACATGATTCACCCAGCTGTCTCCTCCATGTCTCCCCCTCCTCACAGACAGTAATTTCCTGCTGGGTAATGCCCAGGGCCACCGCGGCTACCCCATCGTCTACTGCTCGGACGGCTTCTGCGACCTGACGGGCTTCACGAGAACCGAGGTGATGCAGAAGAACTGCAGCTGCCGCTTCCTGTACGGAGCCGACACCAGCGAGCATGTGGCCCAGCAGATGGAGAAAGCTCTGGAGGGTCGAGAGGAGTACCAGGCCGAGGTCCACTTCTACAGGAAGAATGGTGGGTGTCTGGCAAAGAGGAAAGAGTGTGTGTGTGTGTGTGTGTGTGTGTGTGTGTGTGTGTGTGTACGTACACAACCCTTACATCTCCCAAAGCTCAAGGTTATGGAGCAATTATCATCTTCAGACTTTTTTCCCTCTGGGTTCTGTTCTGGTTTGATCAGTGTTGTCATCTGTTCAGTTTTTTGAAGCAAAATTTAAGATGTTATTCATTTTATTTTTAGATGAGAGAAGAAGAGTTTGGCTGAATTATGAATCCCCACAGTCGTGCAAAATACAAAAACACACGGAGGTTCAGCAATGGAAAACACACTCCTTTGTAGATGTAGTGCCCTTCAGTGCTCGTTATTATTTAGGGGAACCTATGAGAGTTTGAAAAAAGCATTAAACTCAGCAGTTGATTCATCTTAGTGATTCAGTTCAAATTGTGCTTCAAGGAGTAAATGTGGGGTGGAATAATAAGTTTCAGCTTATTTTCATATGCACATTTCCAAAGCTAAGTTCTTAGTACTGGAAGAAATACTTCACTTACTGTACATGGTCAAGGGATTACTCATGTTGTGGGGACCTTAATGACATTTAAAAAGTCCCTCATCGAAACCAGAACTGATTAGTTACAATCCCACCACAAGAAGAATGAATTAAGGACAATTAGAGGACACATGCGGGGAAGTGGGAGTTTTAGTTCTCCTCGGCTATTAAATTAAGAAAAATTTGGTGTGTTAATATGACAGTAAAAATAAATAAATACAATAAATAGAAAAAAACTGTAGAAGTAAATAAACCAAAAAAGACCACTGACCATATACTGAACTATATACACACATATGCACACCACGAGTGGGTAGAGAAAGTGCTCGGTTTAGGCAAGTAGTAACAATGGAAAAAGTTAGACTAAGTCTGCAGGAAATCAATGTAAGTCTATGTAATGTTCTCTGAAGTCATGGAGACACAACTCTGTGTGTGTGTGTGTGTGTGTGTGTGTGTGTGTGTGTGTGTGTGTGTGTGTGTGTGTGTGTTTCAGAATTTGACTCATTCCCTCTATCCTCTAACTAATCCCGCTCTGGCTCAAAATGAGATGTCATGCATGAAAAGAGAGAACATACAACAGTGTTAAAGCCTCTGACTGGCACACAGGATTATGTTTCTTCAGCACCTGCAGCAGCCTCATGTGTATGAGCCACTAATTACTCTGATGGATCACAAGTCTGCACTGCAGTTACAAAATAAAGCTTCTCTGGATCCTCTCTCTTCACCCCACAGTTGGTAAGTAACTGTAGGTGGACGCTACTGCAGCTAATGAGGAAGGAACGACACAATCGTATGTACAACGTTATAGACCCAAAAATATGAGAATGTGGCCGCAGACACGAGATCCAAGGAAGAGAACAAAGAGTAAAACAGAGGCAGTACATTTTTAAAGGTAGAATCTGAATGGAAGATATATTTCATGATAAAGTTTGACACTAAAGGGATTCAGTATAGACACACACACACACACACACACACAAACACATCCTGCTCTTTAAGCTTGCAAGCACAAAAACCCAAACACTGCCTCTCATTTCATATTTACACCCACAGTCTTGTGCTAGAACATCAACATCCACACCGATTTCTTCCTCGTCCTCCTTGTACATGCTGAAACACACACACACGCACACACACACTGGGGACACTAAAGGAGATGTGCAACATCTGTTTGGTGGCAGAGCACAGTTTCTGCAGTAATGAGCATACTGGGTTATGGCGAGGTCTTGGATCTACGGTGCTCCCTCCCTCCCTGACTTGTTATAACCAACCCCCTGACTTGCTCTTTCTCTTTGTGCACAATCCTCCAGAACATGATCCATATCTAATTTGTGGTATATTTTTAGAAAGGCTATGGCCGTACCTGACAAGTAGCAAACGGCTCGGACACAGTGAGAGCTGACATGACATGTCAGGTCTCGGCATAAAAAACTCATGTGGTAAAAGAAAGTGTATTTCACAAGGACAGGGCCAGAAGAGACAAACAGAGATACAAAACAAGCACAGAAACCCAGATGAAAATGTAACCTCCTTGGTGAAGGTAGTTATCTTGTTAAGGTTTTTGTCAGGAAGGTCTTTAGAAACTTTACAGATTCTAAACCTGCACATTAACACTGACCGTGTGACTGAATCCACATTTCTGGTCTTCTCTCCAGGTGCCGCCTTCTGGTGTCTGCTGGACATCGTGCCCATCAAGAACGAGAAAGGCGAGATGGTCCTCTTCCTTTTCTCGTTCAAGGACATCACCGACACGCATGGAAAAAGCCACCACAACAGCAAGAAAGAGGGTAGGTTACCAGTCCTGCTTGTTAGAGAAGCTCCTGCTTAATTTGAGCGTGATTTACGAGCGCTAACATCCTCAAGCCCTGCAGCTTTAATTTTCTCTGTGTGCTCTTGTTCATCACTGTCACATTCCACCCGGCAATATTGTTTGGGCTGGTGTTCTCAGACTGATGTTTTCCAATGGTGGGGGGGGATTTGATTTTGGCAGCCATGCATCTTCAAGTGGAACCTGGACACAGTCTGCTGCAAATACCAGGAATTGTGCCAGAGGGGATATAGACTGATTTTGTTAGATGCATTCAAGTCAAGTACATGTCAGCGGTTGTGTGTTTTTGTTGCATTAGAGGACACGTTATTCTTCTCATTGTGTTCTCTGTCTCCTACTCTCACCAAATTCCTTCTGACACAACGTGTGTTTTCATTTGTCACGTGTGATTGTGTGACAGTTTCAGACGACAAGAGGAGCAGGAGGAAGAGCAACTCCCACTTCAGCCAGGCCCGGAAGCGTGGACGCACCATGTTGTACCAGCTGACCAGCCAGTTCTCGGGGGGGGGCAAGGGAGAGGTCAACCTGGGCGGCGTGAGTACTTTTCCCTTTCTCACATACTTCCTGTACGTACTTACCCTCACATGCCCTCTAAGAAACTATAAAGCCAGGAGTCGCTCAGACATGCAGCAGCCTCATTCTTAAGTTTGAATTATTGATGTAGATATCTGAAAGAAGAATTTGTAGGACGACAATCTGAGCGAAGTCTCGACCCAGATTCCCCAGAGTGCAGCTCAATGGAAAATACATCAAACGTCTTCACTATAGTTCCTGAATTATTTTTATCATCTTTTCACTTCTGTTGCATTTTGCATGTAAAGTGTATTTATTTAAGACTAAGAACAAGGTCACTGTGGCTGAAGTGAAGCTGGGAGGTGGCTGCCACTTCCTGTGAGGTGTTATTGGTCATAGTAGAAGCTCGAAGCATCATAACAACTGACATGCAGGAGCTTGAGTATTCAGGTTATTATGTCACCTGCATGTTTCTTTAAACTACCTTTCACCTTTTGGTCCAGTGGTCCTATACTGTGACTACCTACCCCACACAATCATATATGTGTTGAACCTGTTGGATAATGGATGGATGGAAGATAAGATCTCATTCCATGTTTCCAGTTGTTTTTCAACCCTTTCCAGTTACGTGTTCCATGTTTTTATAGTGCTGTTGCTCTCCGTCATCTGTCTTTCAAGTGTCTCAAGTACCTTAAGAGGCTGTTTTGTTGTGGTGATACAAACCCAGCTATGGGTCCGTCTCATTCCCACTTGTCTTGTTCCTGCAGCACAAAGGGCCTTCGCAGGCTTTGAATGATAAAGGTGTGTTACACTCCAAGCAATGTTATTCATGAGAGCGAAGGGGGAGCATTTCTTTTTAAGTGGAGCATCATATTGAGATCATTCCGCTCCCTCCCTGCAGAGTCTCGGTTACCAACTGGGTCTGTGCTCAAACCCCCACAAAGGACTGAGAGCAATTCAGCACATTTCAGTGAAATATAACAGGTTTTGCTGAGCAGCCTGATTAAAGATTTTCCATTAAATAGCACTTACCACTATTTGGACGATAACACTTTTAAACAAAAACAGCTACTTGGCAACTGTAGAAGTACAGAGAGGAACTTCAGCAATATAATAAGAGGAAAAATATTAAATACATATATATTTTATATAGAAAAAAACACTGGAAAAGAAAAAAAATTACAGTGTCAGCGAAGGGGTTCGGGTCGATAGCAATATGGAGCATATTTGACGTTTAATGAATACTGTTAAACTGCACATACAAGGGTTGTCTCCTAATTTTGAGAGGTTTCAAAGGCTTTTTAATTAAACTTCGGTACTTGTGTCATTTCAAACTATTTTACATCCTCCATATTAAAAGTTGAGCTCATCTCACCCAAGAAAATCATATTTTAAACACTTTTTATCAGTCAAACATTTTTTCTAGTGACTGGTGAAATGTGTTTGCTAACTCCAGACGTTTTAGTTTGTCATAAAAGAAAGAAACAGGGATAATAATCAGAGTAACACAATTTACTTTCTCATAAACACATTTAATAACAGTAGAGTTTCTATTACTCTGCTACTTTATGATGAAGAGGAAGAGACATGACGTCAAAAGGAGGGTTGGTGATGTGTTTGTGTCGTCTTCCAGCAGTTGTCAGTCAGTGTGAATGTTTTTTTGGGGCGTATCTTTGACAAGAGGGTCGACGGAGGGAGCGGGATGTTACTGGTTGCCTCCTCTTGCTATAGGTTTTCCAGGATTACTGACCCTACATTTAAATTTATACTTAAAAGAGAGATATTTATATTACTAGTGCTGACATCATTAGTTTATAAACTGGTTAGTTCACTGACAGAAAAATAGTTGTCAGTTAGTGTTATATTGTAAATTGAGTGTTAGTCTGAATATAAAGTAGTTTTCAACCCCCAAAGATTTATGTTTGCTCTTCGTTCATATCATTTCCGACGAACTAGATGAAAACTGTAACGGTATCCTTATTTCTGCTGTAGCTTCCAGACCAGACCTGCAGGTACCTTCACAGAGAATCGATATTCTCGGCCTCCCCCCCCTGTCGGCCCAGCCTCCCGCTGCCCTGCTCCGCTATATCACACCTATTAACAGATGGCAGAGATCACTGGCTCCACGACTGCTCACTCCGAACCTGTTCTAACAGGACTCACACACACACGACACCGACTCATACATCAGGACAAGCGTTATAAGATGAGTCGCCTTCCGAGGAGAGCGACGGAAGCATATGGCGAAACGTCAGCGCAGTCAGAAATTGATGCATCGTATTTATCATTCAGATTTTGTGCCAGCACTCTCAGCGTGACACTGCACTTTCACACGAGCAGCTTCTCTGTCTGTCTCACACACATACAAAATGTAGGAATATGAAATTCAACAATCAGCATAAATATGTTCACTGATCTTGAAAAGTCAAATTAGTACAGAAAAAGCTGCATGATTAATTCCCAATGTAATCAAGATGCTGCATCTCAGTTATGACCTTAGTTATTGATGTTGAGTCAAAACAAAAGACACTTTTGCCGTATTAACCTTAGAGACCGAAAGTAGCAAAGAAAGATTCAGGATTTGCTTATAAACAGGCATTTTGTTGTAGCATTTTAAAATGTAGGTTAGAATATAAATAAATGTCTTCCTGTGAGCTGCTGTTTTGTTTCTGTGGATCTTTGACAGGTTATTCAACTGTGTCTTGTGATTCTATCCGGGACTCCAGAGCCTCGCAGCTCTGCCGCTATTGTTAAACTGATAACAGCACCTCGTGCATGGGAATGAGACTCAAAGCAATGATAACAAGCAACACACTTTGTTTGCAATATCATCAGAAATCGATATGCACAAGGACCTTTAACGAGGGTTCTCACAAAGCCTGGAATCAGTGTTTTTATCTGTGAGGATAAAATTTGACATTATTGGCAGGATTTGGCTGCAGGCCCATCATCAGCATCTTCTAATGTTACTGATGGTGTCAGACAGGATGAGCTCATGGGTGTTTTCAAGCAGCCGTTTGCAGAAGTTTACATTAAAAGAAGATTTGCACCAACAACAGGAACTAAGCTGGTTTATTGTGCATCACTTGAAAGATGCTGGATATCAGCTCCTGAAACATTTCAGAGGAATCAGGAAACAACTGACCACCACTCCACTTCTGCCTGAGCGGGAAAATGATTAAGCGAGGTAATTAAAATTCATAAAGCTGTTATCAGTTTAAGAAAACGAGAGACGATTATGATAACGCTCTGTATCTCTCTTTCCCACCATGATTTTCTTTGCCTTCAGTTTCCCCCCTGTTTTTTCTTTTTCGCTCTAATCACTCTTCTCCTTCTCTCTTGCTGCTTTTACACATTTTCTCTCCCTCTCCATCTGTCATGCTAACCTCATCTCATCTTTTGGGTTCATCCCTCTGGATCCTGCTGTCTCTCCCCAGTCTGTCATTCTGTCATTTTTTTTAAAAACTTTTAAATGATCTCATCCGTTCCCTCTGTCTACTGAATCCCCCCATCCTCTCCAACCTCCAGTGTTTCATTTTTCATAACTAGAAGTTACCTCTCTTGAGGACTTAATATTCATACTTAATTTTGTATTCCAGTAATGCTACATTTATTAACTATTACACCCTATCATCAGTTTCTGAAATGCACTTGCTAAAAATGGAGGTATAGAGGACTGACCAAAGATAAATAAATGAATAAACAACTTGATGATTGGGTAATATGGATAAGTAAGTAAATACTTAAATACATAAATAAAGTTAGATAAATTCCCTTTTTATGTATTCCGACATTTCTTTATCAATTTTTTTCCTATATTTTTACATTTCAGTTTGATACATAAATAAATATAGAAATGAATGAAACTTAAAAATGAATGAATGAATAAATGTGGAAACAGATAACAGAATTAAACAAACAGCCTTTCCCTAAACATACTGTAAATATGTTTTCTCTTTTTTATATATTAGCATATTTATTTTCTGCATATATTTATTTGTGCTGTGTATTATGGTTATTTATGTATTTCTTTAGTTACTCATTATTTTGGCAGTGCCCTTCCTCAATATAAATAATCCAATAAAATACAGATTAAAATCAGCACCGTCTTAACTGTTAACACAATAATACCATAATAATATACTTTATAATTATACAACACAGAAAAATATAATTCCTCTGAATATTTAGCATTTTGCCTTTAAGACTTAAGTTATGTTTTATAATACTACATTTTGAATACACTATTTTTTCCAGTAGCAGAGTATTGTTACATCGTGAGCATTCACTAAAGTTGAGGATCAAAACTGTTCTTTCACCACCACAATCCTCCCCTCACTGACTATTACTATATTTTTACCATTTTTCCATCTTCTGTCTGTCGCCCCCTCCACATCTTCTCTTCTTTTCTCGCTGTCTGTCTCTGAGAAGCTGTTAGCTAACAATGTGATCCTCTGCCTCCACATCACAGTCTGCTATATCTGCTCTCGCTGAATCTCTATTCGTGGCACATCAGCCTGCCAGCGAGGAAGAAAAAAGAGCAGAGTTATACATTTGAACACAGACACGTATACATTCATCTATTAAATACCAGCAGCATCATAAAAACATGAAAGCTGACAAGTTTTAAGTAAATTGAAGTACAGTGATGTAATTTAGTCCACAGACTGTGCCGGCTGCCTCCTTTTTAAAATGATCCACGACAAACTACATCACCTCCTCTGACTGAATTGTTGTTTATATCTGTTCTCTTCACTTTGGATGCCGTCAATCCACGAGTGCACCGGCCACGTACTGTAACTAATCCACGGCACGCTGTCAAGAAGCTCAGATTTGATTTCAAGCTGCTCCGTTTCCCAGGAGAGAGCCACTATTGCCTGTTTTCATTTTAACGCGCTTGTCAAGTGGCAGATGAAAGAGAAAAACGGTGCGATCTAGAGGCTTTTTGAAATCATTCAAAAGTCAATCTATCTCTTTTTTTTCATATAAAACAGTTTCAGACGGAATGTTTATCTTTATTCACTTGCTGTGACTCAATTTAGTGTTGGAGAATCCTGGATTTCCTTTTGCAAAGCTGGTTGAATGTTATCCTTCCATCCTATAATAAGAACTGTGCGATGCAAAGTCATTTCAAGAAGACTAGTATTATCTCTCAGGGTCTTATGGACATTTTACAGTTTATATTGAATTTATATTGAGTTGTTATCCTCCTGCTGCTCTGCTGCTCAAGAGGAATAAATTAGGAAAAGAGTAAAATGATATTTCAGGATATAAATTCAACGCTGAGGGTTCTCTCCAATAGTTTGTTGGAGACTTGTTCTGCACTCATGGGGGGAATGGTTGCTGCTCGAGTCACATGTTAAGCCATATGCATCTCTTTGCCCATCAAGGTCAGGCTTTTATCAGCGCTAAAGCCTAAAGCATGCTGGGAGATGTAGTTGGAACATTGAGCTGTAGGCTACAGTGTTGACCTAATGAAGTGCAAAGACCAGCTGCAGCTGTGTGACACGTGTCCCCACAGTGCCAGGCTTTCTTTTCTAATCACTGGGATGTGCTCGGCTGACCGCCTCAAGTGCCAAAGGTCGGCTGGGCGTCCTGACCTCAGTGATGTCAAGCAAATTAAAAAAGAAAACAGTCAAGCGTTTGCTGACATTGCATGAACGTTCTTTAACGTGGCCACAGCTGTTGATGGTAATGAGCGAGGTCTCTCTGTACACTTTCTGCTTACCAACGTCTGGACACCATGAAAAAGCCCCTGACTGAGCGATACCGCGACGAACACTTCTCTGTGGACCAGGAATTATCTGGTGTCACACGCCTTCATCATGACATTTTCAAAAGTTGCCTCACTGGGAACAATCTGAACAGTTTAACCCCAAGTGTAATGTAGTTCAGAGTAAGGAGAACTTTATTGCCACTGCACAAGAACCATTCTGTGTGGAGCAAGCCAACAGATCCCTAATTGCTTACTTCACTCATTTATATTACTGCTGGTGGATACCTCAGAGTGACGTCGTAATGGTTCATACTATCTCTACTGTAATGAAGATTAATTTCATTAGCTTGTGTAAATGTTTGGCATGTAAATTGTTCGTACAGTTTAATTTCTTACTTATTATCAAAATCTAGCTAGACAATTGCAAATCACATATATTTTGTGTCTGTAAAAGGTTTGTGTACAGACCTATATTCCAGTTCACATTCCAAACAGTTTATTTTAAGTCTACAGACTCACCAAGAATGTATGTGTTGCTGTATCCCACAGATATTGAACACAAATTGTGTGTTAGCTTGGAAAATATTCTTTTTGCAACTCACATCATCTGTTAGATGTTCTAACACACGGATTGTGTTGAGAGCAGCACAAATTGTGTTGTATTTAACGAGACACTCTACAGTGTTGTTGTGCTTCCTTTAACACATCTGGAATTTATCACAGAGACAAGATATTTTGATCAAAACTATTAGAACATTTTAACCCCTAGTGTAATGTTTTGACACATAATTTGAATATTTAACTCCCAGTGTAACGCACCGACAGACATTTCACTGTGAACAATTTGGGTATTTCCTTTCCTGCACCCACACAGTGCGCTGTGTCCAAAGTAATCCATTCTCTCAGTTACTTCCATAGAGAATTTACAGACTTTAACCAGACAGCTTCAGTGCCCATACGGGGAAAATCTCCGGTCTTTAACCACACTCCTTGTTCCTGGAGTCACCTGTTTGTGAAGTGGCCACATTGTCCGTGGATGGATTACTGTTAATTTATCCCTCCTTTCTCTTTCCCTCCCATCACTGTCAGAGGTAATAGCTTCTCCTCCCGTCTCCAAAACATTGTTAAGGCTATTATGTGCCAAGTGCACGGCCCCATTTGGAGACTCAGCCACATTATGTTCCGAATGGTTCCCCTACCTCATCAGAAATAGCAATTTCATACTTTCTGCAATTTGATTTTTTAATAAAAATGAAATAAGTGGAATGAATATGCAATAGGTTTCTAAATATAACAACTGTAGATGGTCAATGTTCTAATTCCCCTTATTCCCCGAGTGGCACGGCAGCCATTGTAACGTCCCACCTGAGAATCAATGCACTCGTGGCATTTGGAGGGATGTAGTCATGTATGAAATTATACGGCATCTATGTCGATAATACATTTCTCCCTCACTGACCACAGTCATATCTGTGTCACTCTGGATTGTTACCACAGCCTTTTAAAAGGTCTACTCCTGTCTATAAGAGGCTGCCATGAATAGATAACCAGCAGCATTACCATATCTGTTTAATTTGAGTCCCCCCCCCTCATTGAATCATCAGCAGTCCCAGCTCAAGAGAGGGTGTTGACATTTATATCGTCTGTTTCTGCAAAAATCTTGGCACCGCGATGTCAATCTGATTACCATTATTTGCACAGCACTCTACTTCAGGAGCATCTGGTTATCAAGTTATTCATTTATGCAGCTTCTCGAGTGTTCTTGGTGTCTGCTTGTATATTTATTAACTTAGGCTTGAAATCCAAGAGGCTGTAATTATCGGACTTTAACTCCTAACAGACAAGCCCCCTTTCTATATGTGTTCGTGTGTGTGTTTCTCTGCACATATGACTGTGTAGTATGTGCTCTTTCAACAGTAACGTAGTATTCAAGGATGCTTTTTGCCGCTGTCCACTTACAGAGCATGATCGACAAGCCTTCAATACCAGAGTACAAGGTGGCAGCGGTGCAAAAGTCCCGCTTCATCCTGCTCCACTACAGTGTTTCCAAAGCCCTGTGGGACTGGCTCATCCTGCTGGCGACCTTCTATGTGGCTGTCACCGTGCCCTACAATGTCAGCTTCACGCCGTATGACGATACTGTCACAGCCGCGCGCTCCACCATCGTCAGCGACATCGTGGTGGAAATGCTCTTCATCATAGGTGAGTGCAGATGGAAGTCACTGAGACACAGCTTCACAAAATCTTTGAATTTTCTTGGCACCTATGGCAACAGCATCCTTTCCCCCAGATAGTTCCCTCACTCCTGGAAACCTCGGTCTCTCTGGTCCCTTCAGGACGTCTTGGGTCTTTCCCAGGGACTCCTGGGATAAAGGGACGCGCCCAAGGGATGAAGTGAGGGGGTAGAAACCTAATGTTTTCAGCTTAGTGTTCATGAAGAGCAGCAACAGTTTAGCAGTCCAACTTGGCACAAATAGGGAGGCCACCGGCTGTGTTAGAGAGAAAGCTGTGTTCTGCAAGCTTGTGTACTTAGTTTGCTTATTTCAATTTATTATATGTCCTATATTTGTTTTAAAGTCACGTGACTAATTGAGGGATAGCATATCAAGTTACAGTTACATAGCACAATCATAATAAGACATGCTTGCCCAAATCCTTTAGGGAATATGGTGTATTGGAAAAGAGGAGCCGATTTTGATTTGATGATCCTTGCAGCTCACACCATTCTGTGCACTGTTGTGCGCGCTCTCTAATATTCACCACCATTGTCATCATCTCCCTTGTCTCTAACTTCTCGTTAGTGAAATCCAGATTGAGTGATGAGCCATTATCTCTGCCAACATCGACAGCTTGGGTGACGGATGAGGTTTTAGCCTCACACCCGGAGTTCTGCTTGTTATGTGCTTGTTACAGCCTGACACTAAGGTTCGATGTGTCTGGCAAACTCGCCCTAGTACACTGACATATTTCCAGCTGTCGTGAGCTTCAGCTTTAGCTCCTAATGCATATTGCAACCAGGGCCTTTCTTTGTGTGCATGTGTGTTCTCCCTGTATCTATGTGGGTTTACTACTACTCCCACTTTCTCCCACAGGCCAAAGATAGGTTAGGTTTGAGACTAGTTAATGTGAGAGTAAACAATTATTTGTCTCTGTATGTTGGCCCTGTGATAGACTGGTGACCTGTCCGGGGTGTACACCTGCCTCTCAATGTCTGCTGGACTTGATGCCCCTGCAGTGACCCTCAATGGATTAGCAGAATAGATAATAGATGGATAGATACATACAAGTGAACCACTGGGATAGAACCTGAGCTTTTGACCTTCTTCACTGTGCACAACTTGTGCTTTGTGATTCTCTTACATCTTTATGATTATGAGTTAGACTAAATCCTCTCTCTTGGTCGCAGAGAACAAAATAACCTCTAATCTCCACATTTGCAGACATCATCCTGAACTTCCGCACCACCTACGTGAGCCAGTCGGGCCAGGTGGTGTATCAGGCGCGCTCCATTTGCATCCACTACGCCACCTCCTGGTTCTTTGTGGACCTGGTGGCTGCCCTGCCCTTTGACCTGCTGTATGCCTTCAACATCACCGTGGTGAGTTCAGCTGTGATTGCTGAAGCTGGTGTATGTTGCCTTAAGAAGCACTTGCAAGGTCCATATACACACTTCCCTGTGTATATGAAGTGTATGTGTAGTCTGTGTGTTTGTGGATTATAACACTTTGGTTTTCAAAAGTCCCCTTAAAAAACCTGTTTTTCACGTACTCCTCTTTCTCCCTTTTTCCCTTTCTCTTTATTTCTGCCCCTCAGACCTCATTGGTTCATTTGCTGAAGACGGTGCGGCTGCTGCGCCTCCTTCGTCTGCTTCAGAAGCTGGACCGCTATTCCCAGTACAGCGCCATGGTGCTGACCTTACTAATGTCCGTGTTTGCGCTGCTGGCACACTGGATGGCCTGCATCTGGTACATGATTGGACGCAAGGAGATAGAGACCAGTGAGAGCTGGGACATTGGTGAGTCAAGCATGTGCAAGATGAAGTGGAAAGGTCAGGTTTGGTGTTTCATGCTGAGAAAGTGTGAAAATCATTTAACCATTTAATTTTGGTACCAATCCAAACCAGGGAGTAGATCCACTCAGTATATTCAAACATTCATCTTGCAACATTGCAATATAGGATGTTTTTTCAAAGATTCTTGGATCCCAATGAAAAAAATCTGCCATATTTAGGGAACTGATATCCACGAATGTGTGAAATTTGGTGCAGCTTGCCTTGGTGGAGGTATTCACTCTACTGATTGTCATTCTATCTATTTATATTCTATCCTTTGTTTTTACTGTGACCTCTGGCTAGAAATCAAATCTAATATGTGATTAAACCAACTTGGAGGCAGTCCTATCTAAGTAAATGGTCTAATCTAATACTAATCTAATCTAATAGTCTAGACTTTTCCCAAGTAGACGTTTGTTTTGTCCCCACCCCACATAGCTATAAATAGTCATGTCTCACCTATTGGGATTTCTAACTGTGCTCAGTGATGAGATGGTGGCGAACACCAAACTCTAATGAGGACTGTCTGAAATCAGATCAAAAGCTGAAGCAGGCAGAGTTTCAATGTCTGAGTCACTGTTTGAAAACGGTTCAACTCGGAGAACAATAATAAAAAAGTTTTTTATTTTTTAAATATTTGAACAATATCTGGTTTTATTATTGACGTATTTACCTGCATCGGATCAAAGGTGCCGTTTTTGATGCTAAATTTCACTGTGCAATGAAATTAAAGGCATTCTATTCTATTCTTTTCTATTCTATACATACTATTTAAATGACTAGTAGTTTAGCTAGATCATTCCTGCAGCTTTAGAGCCACTTTGACTTTAAACCACCATACTGTGATATTGTATGTACAGCTAAATGAAGCATCTGGTCCAATCTCCTGTGCAACCTGTGTGTGTGTGTGTTTCCATTTGATTGGGCATACATTTGTGTCAGTATGTGCCCTCATATCTGTCTATAGGGAGGATAGGTCACACCCGCTAATTAACACTCAGCCTTATTTATTCCTGGAGGAGTCAATCTATTCTGCCTTGTCCTGCACCGACATGCCAGCCTGCTGACACTGCTGCCACTCCTTCTGTCACACAACCACACACACAGTCCCAAATATGCACTTTTGTCTCACAGAGCAGGTATTGTTGTACCGTCCTGACACCTCCAACAGAAGACACTGAGACACAATGAACTACACCCTGTGGACATTATCCCTCTCTCTCCCTCCTTGTTCAGGGTGGCTCCATGAGCTGGGCAAACGTCTGGAGACGCCCTATGTCAACAGCACAGTCGGCGGCCCGACGGTGCGCAGCTCCTACATAGCTGCCCTCTACTTCACCCTCAGCAGCCTGACCAGTGTGGGCTTTGGCAACGTGTGTGCCAACACTGACGCTGAGAAGATCTTCTCCATCTGCACCATGCTTATTGGCGGTACGTCTGACACAAGAGTACATTCTCCCTCTGGCGTCCTGGCAGAGTGGCGACTCCGTTCAGCACGTCCGTGCTGGGAATTCAGCAGGAAGTGGGTTGGACGGTTTGGCTGGTCCTTATGATGCAGCTTGTCTCCATCTTTATATACCAACAACCAGATTATGTTCGCTGAGGCAGGAATTGGCGCAACAACAACTTTTTTATTTATATAGACACAGCTAGTCAGGACAGTGAGATGAATGAATGAGTAAATTACTGTGTGGATCAATAAGCACAGGAATGAATGGTTTCCATTTAAAGGCCGGACATGTATTTCAAAAGAATTAAAACATAAAATTATTAAGAAAAACTTTTTAAGTGACAATAAGATTTTTAAAATGCATCCATTTATTTTCTGCAATGAGATTTGTTTCCATCTCTCACACAGCGCTCATGCACGCCCTTGTCTTTGGTAACGTGACGGCCATCATCCAGCGCATGTACTCACGCCGCTCTCTCTACCACACACGTATGAAGGACCTGAAGGACTTCATCCGTGTCCACCGCCTGCCCCAGCAGATCAAGCAGCGCATGCTGGAGTACTTCCAGACCACATGGTCTGTCAACAACGGTATAGATGCCAACGAGGTAGGAATCCCTTCATTGTTGTTGTCATGTAATACCTGTGTACACACTGCTGTCTGTCTTGATGGCATTTGAGCAGTGACACCTTTTAAAGCTGTAATTGTTTAAGATCTCACACTACACCCTGCTTCAGGTAAACCCTCACCTGACATCCTATTGAAATTCAAAAGAGGGTAACCAGTGGCAAAACAATCCATTCCCTAATTACCAATCAGTGTCGCATCTCATTACGTCTGTCACACGTCCCCAGCTCCTGCACGACTTCCCTGATGAGCTGCGGGCTGACATCGCCATGCATCTGAATAAGGACATCCTCCAGCTGCCGGTCTTTAAGGGAGCCAGTCGTGGCTGCCTGCGCTCTCTCTCCCTTCATATAAAAACCTCCTTCTGCGTCCCTGGGGAGTATCTGATCCGTCAGGGTGATGCACTACATGCCAGCTACTTTGTCTGCTCCGGGTCTCTGGAGGTGCTGAAAGACTGCATGGTGCTCGCCATATTAGGTTTGTATTGTGGCCGGGTGACTTCTTTTGAGGCATAATATTTATGGTGTGTATGTAGCATAAAGTAGAGTACTAACTTTATTCATATTTATTGTTTATTTATTTTAGGAAAGGGCGACCTGATTGGGTCTGACCTGCCTGGAACAGAGCAGGTGATCAAGACCAATGCTGATGTGAAGGCGTTGACCTACTGTGACCTGCAGTACATCAGTGTGCGAGGCCTGAGAGAGGTGCTGGAGCTTTACCCGGAATACGCCAGCGTGTTCGCCTCTGACATCCACAACAACCTCACATATAACCTGCGTGAGGGCAGCCAGGACGAGGTGCTTAACACACACACACACAAAATTGTTGTTGATGGAATGTGATGTTAAAATGTATTTTTCTGTGTCTAGTCTAACTAATCTCAACCATGATTAATCATTAATTACATGTTCACTATATCGTACATTAGTTCATAGGAGAGCAGTGGTGACGAGTGAGTGAGTGAGAGGCGTATCACTTCCCTGTTACCGCCCTGACACACAGCACAGGATGACATTACCCCCCGAGACGCTGACTTCGCCTCAGCGCTGCCTGTTGCCACTAACAGTTATTTATGAAAGTGTTACATAAGGCAGGATAATCCTCCATCTGTGGACAAAATGCACGTGTGGATGTTGATGTTTGCAGGCACAGTTTTGCTTCTTTAAACCTGCTGAAACACTGCAACCAATTCCCCGGTTCTTTCCCTTTGTTGAACCGTTTGTTTAAAACAAATAATAGCCACGATGTCAATGATGTGTGACTGACAAAACCGACAAATCTCCCCAAGGAATTTCCCATCTCGTACTTTATGTCATTCTCAAACATTTGTATTGTACTTCCATTAAGCATTCGCCAAAGTTCCCAAAGGCCATTGACGGACAGGACATCTGTGCCGGCCACATTAATTACCACAGGGAAAACAGCTTCAACTGAATTAATGAGGGCTTCAAAAACAAAATGATTATACCCGAGTTTCCTTCTGTTAAGACTCATCACACATTCAAATTTGTCACATTACAGAAACCAGGCATTTAAAAAAAAGCTTATTATTGCAGAAAAGTTAACTTTCCTCACATCTCTGTTTGGTGTATAGATGCCATACATTTTCTCAAATTACTAGAATTATTACACCCTTTAATTTAGACTCCTCCTTCTCCAGGGTGTGGCTGATCACAACTACCAGCTCTCTAACTTTATCACACCACCTGCTTAGGATTTCTGCTCAACCCCTCCCGCCTAACAGGATGAAGGTGTTTGCTGCTACCTGGCCGAGCTCCCGCGGACTCCTGACACACACACACACACACACACACACACACACACACAAACTAAAACAGACGTCCTCACCTCATGCGCATCGTCATGGTTGGGTGGTTTTAGGAAGGAGTTGTAGGATGGGAGTTCCTTTTGGTCTTAAGCGATAATTGAGAAATGAATTAACAGTATTCAGCCAACTGTAGAGAGACACTGCCAAAGTAAACAGATTGTAGGAATGCCCATTACGCTGTAAGGTGTCCAAAAGGGACTAGTTTATCTTGTCTAAAAGGGAAAAACCCTGAGTGCCAGATGGTAAATTAAGCAATTTTTTTTTGCCAACTCTGTAAATTAATTTCAACTTATATTGCAGGGTCAATTAAATTATTTTGAATAGGTTTGGATAGAGAACATAAAAGTTTTACACCTTTTGTAAAATCCTGACTCTGGTTTTCTTTGACACTGTAGAATAATAATGTCCCTCTGCAGCTGTCAGATGTGTTTGTAGACGTTTGTCATATCAACTGGAAAAACAATAGTGTGTTAGAGTTGTGTTTGCCACCAAGCAGCTCAATAAATATTTTATTGTCAGTTTAAGGTCAGTAAGATTGAATTTGGTCCCCGGAGCTTGGCTTATTTCTTAGGGGAGGTGAGTTTTAGAGATATGTAGAGATTGTTCTGTCCTGGGCAGAGTGGGAAGGTCACTCCTCCACTCGGGAGCCTGTGCTGAATCAAAATTTGTCGGACTATAATGACCATGTGGCCACAGGGAGAGTTAAGTAGTTAGTGGTCAAGGGGTGTGAAGAACAAGCTGACCGATTGGGAGTTATGTGGACACAGCCCCTTTTGAAAACAACAACAGTTTAACAGAGGTGATGAAGGCAGCTGCTGGTAAAGAGAATTTATTTGAGAGACGATATGAGGTCAGTGTTGCAGACAAACATCCCAGATGACCATATCTTCAGAAACCACCAATGTTATTTCATCTACACTCTAAACTTTTTCAAACATTTATTATGTCAAATGTTTCCCACATTACCCGCTAACATCATTTTTGAATAAGTGAAGCCAAGCGGTTATTTTAATTGTGCTTTACTTTCTACCTATAGCCCCTCGTTTTAGAGCCCTCAAGCCTTGAAGAGGCCCAGTTGGATTCTCCAAGCCCTAATCTTACCCCAGAGCCCCCAGGCTCAATCCCAAAGCCTGGACATGCCCCAAGCTCTAACCTTATGCCAGGAGGTTCACTGGTCAGGCTCCTCAAGCTCTAACCTTAAACCAGGGCACCCAGCCTCATCCACCTAAGCCTGGAGAAGCCCCTGTTGGCTCCCCAAGCCCCAAACCCATAAGCCCAGAGGTGCCTCAGTCAGGCTCACCAAGCTCTAGCCTTAACCGAGAGCCCCCAGACTTTTTTGTTGATTGGTCGTATGCCATCATGTACACATTCTCCTATCGTTGGCCATTTCTAGACACTACTCTCATAAGGCAAAAACAGTTCCCACAAAATGAATGTATGGCACAATGCACTGCATGAAACACTGACATATTCTGCTCACTCTGGTCTTGCGTGCACATGATGTCGGTTCTGACAAGATAGCGTGCAAATGCAAACACCAGATAGCACACTTGTGAGTGACAGGAAGAAGTTCCTCATTTAAGTTCCTGCAAACCCACTTTCCTATGTGGGACACTTTGGCTTCAATGCCCCATTATTTGATATTGATGTTCAATTAACGTCATTTGGCACTTATATTCGTAGCAGGCTGGTTAATCATCCCACGTTGCTCCAGGGTTAATTGTAGTTATGAGGAGAATTTGTCTCTGCCTTGAATAGACTCTCAGATTTCTCCCCTCTGCATCTCACGTCGCACCACCCTCTAAAGAAATGTAAAGATTCAAAGCTACACTTTCATTTTTTGCTTTAATTTTCCTGTCAGCTGTGGTGATATTTAAACTCAATATTGTGCTTCAGTGAAGGATTAAATTCAATGTGTATCCTCAGTGAATTGGCTTCCCTGCATCAAAGAGTGTCACTGGCACTCGACTGGTGACAGACTGTGGCTCGTGTTGTCACATTAAACCGTGTTGTCAGAGGCACATTCTTCACACATGAGGGGGAGCTTCGCACTCCACCACAGTTTCATTAGCCATTCAGTCGGTGATTACGCTCGCAGTTTCTCCACAAGCCAGCAGAAAGGCAAACTTCAGCTGGAATCCCTATGTAATGGAGCGTGGAAAAAGGGATCATGTGATTCAGCTTGTGTGGCAAAGTGGCCAAGGACATTTAAGTTGTGGACAAAGGGAAAAAAGTTCCAGTGGAAAGAATATGAATTATGCACATTCATTAATTTCTATATGTAAACCTTGTTTCATGTAGATTTTTAAAGATTTCATAGATTGGAAGTGAAGTGAATAAATACATCATTCCTGTAGCTATGTCTTTTAGTAATTCCCTTTGCTTTGTTTCTGTCTCTGCAGGGTCTCAACAGGTTTTCAAGGTCACCCAGGCTCTCCCATGTGAGTTCAATGCAAATTCAGCTTCTTCTCTCTGAGGTGTCTTTATTTTCCTTTGCCCGCAAGACATGGTTTCCTTAAGATATGGTAAATTCACAAAGCCTGAATGCTATTACGAGACCACGGCACAAGTGTGGTGAGAGATGTAGTTCTTTCATACTCCTGGGTGTGTATTTTCAAGGTAAAATCCCCAGTGTTTGTGGGACATGCTGTAATGCTGATGAACACTGGGAGGGTTTTGTGCAAGGACTTCCCCTACAGGTTGAAACTCATTTGGAACAGAGGGTAGATCAATCCCTGGAGTTCACTCGCTAACTGGGTCAATAGCTCTCCTGGTGTAAAACCTTACCAGCTACTTTTCTGCTGAAAGCACGTCTTTGTATCTCCCCACCTTATATTTATATTAATAAACTACTCTTTACAGTGCTATCTTTGTTACTTTAAGTTGTTTTTCATATAAAACGAACACAGGCATAGGAAGCCATGGTTAAAGCATAATGGGATTCAATTAATGTCATTAAATATTAACTGTAAAACATTATTTGCCCTTTTAAAAAAAGGTCATTATGTGACAGAGCAGTCAATAAATACTTTCAGGCAGAAAGGAAGGCATTACATATTACATATCCTCAGGGCTGGTATTTTCACAAACACTAATACAGATAAGGAACTTTAGGATTTGTAATTCTTAAGTGAAAACATAATCTTGGAAACTGTATAATTTACACCATGTGTTATATTCCCTGTTTTGCAGGAATCCCGGCTCCCCTCCATCGTGGAAACTAAGGGTGACGACCCAGACGAGGCCTTCCACCTCTCTCCTGCCACCCGTTCTCGTCGCAACCTCCTGCTGCCCAGCTTCAGCAGCCCCGTCCGCCGCACATCCCTGGGAAACCTCCTGGGTGACGAGCTGCGGCAGTTCAACGCTCTGCGCCGCTGCCGCTCCCCCAATCTCAGCCGTGGCTTCCAAGGCCAGGGCTCGTCCCCTCTGCCATCGACCAAACGGGAGCACAGCACCCCTGCGGCGATCCCAGCCTCAACTTCAGCCCAGGCAGAGTCAGGAGCTGAGCAGAAGCCTACGAAGCTGCTCATCCCAACCGTCACCTGCTATGGACCCCCAGACCTTAGTCCCAGGTATTGTGAAAATGAACGTAACTTCCAAACAACAGCAGAAAATGTCATTTGGGATAATGAGTGCTTTGGCTACAGATGCACGATGGTACAACTTGGTAAAACTGTTGAAAAACTGTTTTCCAGGACACCTCTGATTTCTTATTGTTTTTGTAGCCCTTCTACAGCACCTCCAGTCTACCTATATTTTCTATGTATTGTTTTTAGTATCGAGAGTTGTCGTCACATCGAATCTATGACTTCCTCCCTGTGTGCTCACTCAACCACTCATTACCTGTACTACTATTTCATTTCAAAGACTTCCAGTACACATTCAAAGCACAGGAAGTTATTTTTCCTATAAGAATGATTACTTTGAATTAATTCCTTCTCTGTGCTACCACAGTGTGTAGACTGAACTCTCTGCAGTGCACGTTACATCTTCATATGACCTGCATATAAGGTGCTGCAGTAATGGACACCTAAAGTCATGCTTGAGAAACCTGCATCATCTACTTAATGTAAATCCTGTGTATTTGCATTGTAAATTTCAACAGATGCCACTGCATTCCATCGCCAGAGCACCTTATCCTCCTGCCCCAACCATCTGTATTCATAATGTATCCCTCAGTCATCCAGTAAGTCCTAGATATGGGTAAGTGCTGGTTCAGAGAGCTCGGGTGTTCGAACCCACGTGGGCCTCTGCCAGCAGCGGACTCTCGTGGCGCATACCTGGGTCGTCTGCCGGCTCCGGTGATAATTGAAAAAGCTCTACTGTTACACTAACGCAAGCGTCTCTCCCCTTTCACCCCCTCCCACCAGGGTTGTAGACGGCATCGAAGACAATGGGCACGCGTTCCATTTTAACGTGGAGCACAGCGGGCCGAGAGCCAGCAGAGGGGGCAGCGTCCAAGGTAAGTCAAGCCGCCTCCAGCTGCGAGGGTCAGCCAGGTGCCAGATGGCTGGAGGTAAACTCAGGAGTTCAAACTGTGGACGCTGCACAGGGTCTCATTGGGGAAACATGAGAGTGCAGAAGAGTGAAATGACAGCCTGGTGTCCAGAGAGTCAGAGAACATGTTAAAGGACAACTGAGGTCAAAGCCGGGTGCTGATCCTCTGACCTGAGCTTTCACTGATCATCACTGTCAATCTAATAAGAATATCAGGTTCTCAGTGTAATGAAGTGCTCCGGCTGCAAACCAGTGCAACTATAGACTAAAAAAAGTGTAGAGTAAGATGCACCTCCTGCTTTTTTAACTCCATGCCATGGCTCTACAGCGCCTCCTGGAGGATTGCCTGCTTTTTGTTTTGCCTCAGTGAGTCCAAATCCTTGGTGCTGTGGTCTGACATGTCGTCTGTCGTGTTTAAAGTCTTCTCAAGCTTCATTCTTGTGGATTCTTCACATAATCAATTAAAGGCTTCTGGAGAGTACATAACTCCACTTCTTCTGGATATTGCTTCATATTAATTGTGATTAATTCTCTAGGTGTTGTGTGTGTTGAGGTGTGTGTTACTACTAAATCAGATACTTTTTTTTTCTGCAACTTATTTTTTTACAGACTCCACGCAGGCAAATTCCACCCTGTTGCTGGAGACCGAGGAGGTCAGGCAGAGTATCAGTCAACTCAACCAAAAGGTAAAGTGCAGCCTCTTCAATTAAATCAAAAATGTTTGGACCAAAGATAATCCAGTGTTTAATTTTAAAACCATCCAGATCTGACAGTGCAATAATAAAAGGTTTGTATATTAACATTATGGGAACGTGACATTGCAGCTGCTTCTGCTGACACCGGCAAACTAAACAATTTAATGTGTTTTTCTTGCTAATTGTTTTTTTATTTTTATGTACCCACATAAAAATGACCATTAAAAGAATCTAAATCTGGATCACAGTGAGATCAAGTTCCTGCTTTGTGTCTCAATCTGACCCTGCACTTTTAATCTGAACATAAATAGAGCCAAAGCAGGTGGAAGTAGAGCATCCAGATGGGCCCAGGTAGGGGCTGTCTGAAGTCCATATTAATTAATCAGTGGGGCACTTCTGCAGTGCAGAGGCTTGCCAGGAGTGCTGACTCCACAGACTGGAGAAAAGAAAAGAAAGTCTGATGATGACAACCCAGCTTTACTCTAGCCCCTTTTCCCTCTTGGTTCACTGACTTGTTTCCAGTTATCTTTTTTCCTTTCTTCCATATTTGATTCATTTACCTGCAGCCAGTGTCCCTCTGGATTTCACTATTTCGTATAATTTGTTTCTTACAGACGTAGAGGAAAAATAAATAGCTTGGTTCTCTTTTTGGAAAGTAATATCTGTCTGAGTTATTGGGTCGATTTGTTATATTTTGAAGCTGTTTTTGCAAACTTTACCACGTTCTCTCTGTGCGATAGTAAGATATGAAAGGCCAGCACGACTAAACTGTTCTCTCTGCACAGATGGGCACCTTAAACCAGGAAGTATCTGAGCTCACCAAGGGCCTCCACCACATGATGCACCTCCTCCAGACTTACATCTCCGTGCATCACTACCAAGCCACATACCCGTACAGTGTCCAGATGGTGCCCAGCCCCCCAACAAACCCCAGCACTGGCATATCGTTGAACCTACCATCAGCCTACCACCTCCACAATGACCCTGGGAACCACGAAGGCCACAGCCACCAAAGTGTCCCCCCCACTGGCCAGTGGAGCTACAGTGGAGCTGCAGAAACCCAGACAGAGATCCACCATCGACCTCGATCATCCAGTCCAGCTGCTAACTCCTGTCCGCCCCTCTCTCTGAACCCTGCCCCCACCTTAGACTCGTGTCGCGGCTCTGAGAGCACGATCACACATGTGTGGACCACCCCGTCTCTTCTCAGCGTTAGCCCGGGCTTCCAGGGTGGAGGTCCAGGCCTTGCTAGGCATGACGCCTCTAACAACAGACCTCTCGGTGCTCACCCAGCGACTATCAGCCGGTCCCAGCCCACTTTGTGCCTGCAGCCTCCCAGTGATAGTGATGAATACTTGTGTCATTTGTCCAGCGCCCCCACAGGTACGTCCACACCCAGCCTGCTGGACTTGTCACCAAGCTCTTACCCCCATCTCTGCCTGCCGTCAGAGTCTCATCTCAGTTTGCCCAAAACGTCACATGAGGACATACATGCTCTGATGTCCTCCCCAACATCTCATAATCTGATCCAGGACACCTCCATCTTCCAAATGGAAGACTCTTACCCCTCCGTCCACCCTGTCTCTCCCTCTCCGCCCACATTGCCCAGCCACCCTCCCAGATCCTCCCCCGATTCAGGGTCACCACGATTAGGCGCTCTTGAGCCCCATCTACCACTGCGCGACCCATCTGCCACAGAACATACCAGTCTGGAGTGCCTACTGGGGAACAGGGGCTCTATGGAGAGCAGGGACAGTGAAAGTGTGTCATCACGAAGATCCAGCATTGGCGTGCACACTCAGAGCACAGAACAGTCGTGGTGTCTGGACCTCACAGATTAGACTGTTTCAGGGGCAGACTCACTGATTTCACTGCAACTGGGAAGAAAAGCAGTAACTGAAATGCAAACGTACAGTGTTTAAAGAGACTCTGCTAGAGATTGTCAATGTGTGCTGTATTTCCCCCTTTTAATTCCTTGGCTCTCGTATTTGTCAAGCTCCACGCAATTTACACCATTTCTATGCAAAAGCATGTCATTTGTGCATTATCTTGGCTTTACTAAAGTGTGTCTTTAAAGAAAAGCTCCACAGTAGTGGTTCTACTATATAACTCTTTATTATTTCCGACATCCTTGGTGCAATTTGCAGTTGATAAAACCTGTTACCTCCTTGCATGGTAAAGTTGTTTATTCTTTTTCCTAAGGAAAAGGTTCCCAAATCAGTGTGCAAGCATTCTACAGTACAAGAGAACCTGTATGTTGTGCACACAGAGACTGTATTGATAGGCAGGTCAGAGCAGTGGGATGTTTCATGGATTTCAAAACCAACATGTCACATGCTTCACCTTGCATATAGGGAGTACAGTTTGTGCGTCACACAGCAGAGATTGTTTCTCCTTGTTGAATTGAATGTTTTTCTCAGTTTAGCATTTTTTTATTTACAGATTCATACTTCGACTGTGAATATCCAAACTCCACAAAGCAGTTCACGATACAAAATGTTTGATTTCATGGAACATCTCTTGTTTTGAATTCTCTCCTTCAGGAGATAATATTCGTGATTGTTCCTCACCAAGGCATTAAATATAACGCTGTGAAATAGGTTTTGAAATGGATTTTCACAAAAAAGAAAGGTGGAAAAGGTTCTTTGATTCAGTAAATATAGTTGCTGAAAAACATAAATAAATACACACATTTAGCTGAAAATGTCCAATTTAATATTTAATACTGTTATTAATTGACTTACTATGAATGCCTCTCAGAATAAAAACAGTCACGATACACATATGATTCAGAATATTCAAGAATACTATCCCGATTGATTGATTGATTGATTGATTCTGATATTCTGAATGATTCTTCCCTGGCTGACAAAATAAAGTGTGCAGACAATATCTGACTCTGTTTTTTACTGTAGTGGCACATTTTCAACCATGAGTTCAGTGTGTGATGAATTTAAAAAAAAAATTATTTATTGTTTTATTTTATCGTATTTGTTATACTGTAGCTGGAGTAACGAACCCCACCCAGTGTCAAACTAGTGGTTTGTCTGACACAGCCACTTGATGGACCTCTATCCTAAATGCATAACAGGAGTGTAAAAACGAAGTTGACAATAAATACAGATTAATCATCCCCATAATCTACTCCAGTGATCTGTATTTATATAGTGCTTTTCCATAGTCGTGATGACCGCTCAAATTGAAAATGTGTACATTTTTATTATCACCTATGTAGTCTGAGAATTAATCCCAAATAAGAAGACACAAAACAAATGCATTAATTTACTGTGAAGGAGATAGTTGATTAAAACCTCTGGAGAAAACAGAACAACACAGAAAGTCTCTACAGTCGGCTTTCTTAAAAGAAAAGAGGATTTGCTGCAGCTGCTCTTCTTCTTCTCACTTCAGTGACGTCGATGAGTTTTTTTTGGCCAGTGCTGATTTATCTTTTTGTATTTATTTGGGCTGATCTCAGTCTGATTATATAAACCAATGTACAGTTTCCTTCATTTACTGTTTAACGAAAACTTGTCTATGAGTCTGTCTGGACGAGAAATTTTGCAGCAGGTTCATCAGCTTCACGATTTCTGAGAAACAGGACAGAAGGTTGGTGTTTTCACTGGCAGTTGTGTGTATGTTGGAATTATGCAAAAACTGCTGGACCTTATGAAACATTACGACACAGAGGTTTCTGTGATTCTTGCTCTTTTGTTGGTGTTGCTTGTCAGCCAGAGTGAGTTCACCTGCACATGTGCCAGTTTCTTGTACCCTCATTTAATGTATATATCATATAACTTGTTCAAACTGGTAAACATGATATTTTTCTTTATGCAGGTGAAGCCTTGAGATATAACTGTGGAGGCCTGAGAAATTGTTCAAGCCCCCGTGGAGACCTGCCACGTTTCAAACAACAACATCAGCTCCCGATCTGCAAACGGGAAAATGTAGAATGAAAAACAATCGCAGCAGGGTTAGCAAGCAGCTATTTTACATCTCTATCATCAGTTCCAGGAACCTTGCTTCACCAGAGGGTTTTGGCCTCTATAGAACAAACAGATGCATTATTTGATGAGTGTAAAGGTTAGCACAGAGAAGCCACTCTGAGGATAGCCTACAGGAAAGTTCCAAAATCAATGGTTTAAGCCAACTGATGCAACGTTTTTTCAAAATCTAAAAAATAGAAGTTTTAAAATTAGATTGATGCTTCAGTGACTTGGAATAAGGAGAATGTTTTGCGTTTCTTTTTGTGTTCCAATTGTATTGGATTTTGGCTGCGATGCCATTTACCCCTGAAACTCTCCACTTTCGTGGAATCCAAACACTTCAATAATAAAAAATAAAGGTATTTTGATATTATCACAGGTCAGTCAGTTATGTAATGTTTGTCTTCCAGAGTTGTACAACATTGGATTTTTTAAAATTGTGCAACAAAACCAGACAATAAAAAGGGGTCCTACAAACAGTGAGCACACAGCTGAGGAATCAAAACTGAGGAGAGGACAATTCACCAGGTAGGACATGTTTACATTTATGAATATGTGGGTTATGAGAGCATGTGATGACTTTGAGGCTGTAACACTTTTTTAATTCATAGTGGAAACATGAAGGCTGTGATTCTCGCTCTTTTGGTCGTGTTGGTTGTCGGACACAGTGAGTAAACTCTTAAACTCATCGAACCGTGCAATATTCATTTCTGCCTGTGAAATTCAATGGATAATATGCAATCAATTTCCAACCATTATTTCCTTGCATTTATATTGTAATTTTACTTATGTCTACTTTTACTGTCTTCTTTAACACAGCAAATCTCCCTGTTGTGGAACTAATAAAAGATTATCTTATCTTTTCTCATTCTATCTAATCTGATCTTATCTCATCTTATCTCATTTTATCTGATCTGATCTGATCTGATCTGATCTGATCTTGTCTCATCTCATTTGAAACCTGCAGACCTCCAGCTTAATTTAACTGAAATTCACTGAAAGAGGGGCTCTTTGGGAGACTCTGGGTATTTCTATAGCCCTAATATTTAGTTTCTACAGTTTATTTTTGTTCTGAGAACTGAGAGGCAATGAAAAGGCCACATTTGGTTTTCCTTTGCAGGTGAAGCCTTGACATGTAAATGTGGAGGTAAGACTCAGTGTTCAAGCCAAACTCAGAGGTGCTATGGTTCAGACAAAGTCTGTGCCAACATCAGGTTTAATTATCCTGGTAAGTATGAGTCTTTCCATCAGAATACTGTTAATCTAAGAGGAACAACTATGAGGAAAGGAAGACGTCTGATGATCCATTCTGATTTTTTTCCATGTTGTCACAGCTTCTGGATACTTCCAGAGTTGCTATCCAGCACAGGGTTGTTCGATGCTGGTAAATTCAGGGACAGTTACCGGCTATTGCTGCAACACTGATCTGTGCAACTAAACAATGAACATCATGCAACACATCTTCCAGTGAATGAACCATCCCCTGTAACATACTGTGTGCTGCATTGTCCTAATAAAGATCATTCAGTTGCAGCTTTTGTCCTTTTTTTTTATTTTTTATATTTCATATTTTCCTTGTGTTTGTTATGGGTTTGGTTTTTGTTACCTGCATTGGGCTCTTGTGACAAAGAAGTAATGCAACATAGTTTTTGTCAGGAGAAAATATAAAAGGGTTTCTCTCTATTTTGAAAAGAATAATAAACAAAGCAGACAGTTCACACCGAAGGCCTCTCAGCACATAACAGTTATATTACAGCGCCGCCGTGTGGTTGAACAGATAACAATCTCTCTCCCTCTCTTAATATTCTTTTTTTTATCCAGATGTCAGATAGAATTTAACTTTATTGATCCTGCACTCTGTGGAAATTCACTTATCACAGCAACAGATTGTCAGAATGTTGACAAGAGAATAAAAATCCAAATTAAATAAAAAAC